GGTGCCTATATGGACGAAAAGGTGATGATGATGTCTCTTTAGCTTTCAATGTAGTTGTAGGGGAAGATTTGATTTCCAAACAAATAACAAAATTTTGGGACTTGGGAAGACTCAGGACTTATTGATAAGAAGGAAAACTTCGATTCAACTGAAAATGAAGTCGTCGAATATTTCGAATCAAATATAACATATGAAAATTCTCGCTATAAAGATAGATTGCCTTGGAAACATGACACATCAAATCTAAATAATAATAGGGAAATCGCAGAACAAAACAACGATTTCAATCGACTTAGAAGAAAACGATTTAAAAAAGATCCTAATCTATTTTCCGAATAACATGGAACGTATTAAGAGATCAGTTTTAAAACAAAATATTATTCGAACCAGTTTTCACAGAAATTTCAAATGAAGAAGGATGTCGTATTTTACTTACTACATAGGGAAGTTATACGCGAGGATCGAGCTACAAGTAAATTACGTATTGTTTATGATGCATCATCGCAATACCCCAGTTTATCCAATTTCTTTAAATGACTGTCTACATGTTGGGCCAAATTTTATACCCTGAAATATTCGAAATATTGTTAAGATTTTGGTATAATCTAATAGCCTTCACCGCAGATATAAAACGAGCCTTTTTACAGATTCTCATACATGAAAAAGATCGAGATACAACCAGGTTTCTGTTTTCCGATTTCACTAATGATGAAACCATTTCTCTTGACATATATAGGTTCACTAGAGTTTTAATCGGAATAAATAGTAGTCCATTTCTATTAGCCGCTACCATTAAACATCATCTGAAAAAAATATAATAAACTTTATCCTACAACGGTTAACTTTTTGAATGAGAACGTATATATAAATGATGTGATTGGAAGCCAACCAACGATCAATGAAGCATTAACTACGAGTCTAGAATCGGTCCAAATAGTTAAGGAAGCAAGCATGCAGCTTCCCAAATGGCATAGGAACTCAATACAATTACATGAATTGTGGGTAAAACAGGGTCAAATTCCAGATGAAAATCCTGAAGATTTTAATAGAGAAAATTTCCCATTCAAAGTCTTAGGTATGGCATGGGATAATTCAAAGGACTTACTGTATTTTGATGTTCGGAACTTATTGTCTTTCACATCTAAACCAATAGAAACAAAACGATTTCTTCTACAAGTGTTGGGTCGGATATTCGATTCGATTGGAATTTTAGGACTTTTCACTGTTAGAATAAAGTGCTTAATACAGAAGATTTGGTTGTCACAAATAGATTGGGATGAACCGTTACCTGAAGATTTGTCCTCTGAATGGAGAAAGTGGTGTGAAGAGCTACCTCAAATGGCTGAATTCTCCATCTCTCGTTACCTTTTTCATGTCACTCGAACATTTAATGTCGAAAATCTCGAACTTGCATTGCTTTTCAGATGCAAGTGTCAAAGCCTATGGTACAGTCGCATATTTACGTTTCACGACAGAAAATAAAGAAATCAAAACGGCCTTTGTCTCTTCTAAAAATAGGGTAGTCCCACTAAAATCCCTTACTTTACCGAGGTTAAAATTAATGGGAGGCATTGTTATCAGTTAAGTTAGTCAGCAATATTCTGAAAGCACTGAAATTGAGAATTCCGTGCTATTTTTGGACAGACTCAACAATTACTTATTTTTTGGATCCAGAAACACAACCTGAAGCCTTCAAACCTGTAATTTCTTAATTCTTTGCCAGGAATCGTGTCGAAGAAATACAAAAATTGAGTTCACCTCAAGATTGGTATTATTGCCCAGGTGTCGACAACCCTGCAGATCTCGTATCTCGGGGAACGAAGATTTCCAAGTTAATAAATGAGAGCATTTGGACGCAAGGTCCCCAATGGCTTCAACTCCTTCACGAACTTTGACCAAGATTAGATATTAAAGAAACAATAGATGTAAACAAGCTGGAATACCGAAAGGGATCCGGTGATATACATTAACTCTGAATATACAATCGAAAAAAGTGCAGATGATCTTTTCGACATATCAAAATATAGCAAATTAGAGAAGGTGTTAAGAGTCACTGCTTGAACAACACTTTTCATTAGAAAATTAAGAAAAACTAGCAACATTCAAGGAACTCTCACAGCTGAAGAGTTACAAGAAGCAGAAAATTTCTAGATAAGATCAGAGCAAAAGAAGTTTTTTGCCGAAGAATATAAATCCCTCAAAGAAGGTAATTCAGGTTGGAAAAAATTCTCCTTTGTACAATTTTCTTCCTTACATTCATGAAAAGGAAATCATGAGGTTGAGAGGAAGACTTAGAATTTTCTGATTTCTCACTAGATAATAAGTATCCTAATAATCCTTACCTAAAAATTCTCCGACTAACGATTCTAATTGTACGCAAAGAACATGAGAAGATAATGCATGGAGGAAATTGCTGCAACTTTAGCTAAAGTCAGATCACGCTTTCTGGATTCCTAAAGGACGACAGTTAGTCAAAAAAGCATTAAATGGTTGTATGATTTGGCCAACAATATTTAGCTAAACCAGCAGACCAGATGACAGCACCCTTACCAAAGGATAGAATCCAAAGAATCACCTCCATTTGCAGTCTGTGGAATTGATTTCGCCGGACCAGTTTACGTAAAGAATTCTAAAGACTTCTCAAACTTCGAAAAATCCTATATTGTTTTGTTCGTTTGTTCAGTAACCCCGAGCTGTACACTTAGAACTTGTATCAGATATGTCAACAGAATCCTATTTACTTGCATTTCGTAGATTTTTGAGCAGAAGAGGAAACTGCGTAATCATCTACTCTGACAACGCCAAGACCTTTAAGAGGACAAAGAAAGAACTTGAGAATTTTTTCAAAAGTTTTAAAAGATGACAAATTCAAGAATTTCATTGCCAAAGAAAGAATCCATTGGAAATTTATAATCGAACGAGCCCCATGGTGGGAAGGGTTTTATGAGAGACTTGTTAGATCTGTTAAAGAATGTTTAAGAAAAATCGTAGGAAAAGCATTGTTGACTTTCGAAGAAATGTCTACACTACTTGTCGAAGTGGAGTCAGTTCTTAATTCACGACCTCTAAGTTACGTTTACAACGACAATGACGAGCCGCAACCGTTGACTCCAATGCACTTCTTAAACATTGGAAAAACTGATTTGAAGTATCCTTTGACCTTTGCTAGAATCGTCTGTAGCGAAACGACAAGAGAAACGCTGTTAAAAAGAAAGCGTTATCAAGAATTGCTGTTAAAACAGTTGTGGTGGAAATGGAAGCAACAATATTTATTAGATCTTAGAACTGCCCATTTCTTGAAGAATCCGCAACTTCAACTAGAACTAAAAGTAGGAGATGTTGTTTTAGTTGAAGGAAATAATAAAAACAAACTATTATAGAAACTTGGTAGAATCATAAAAATTATTCCTGGACGTTATGGTAAAGTCCGATCATTCGAATTAAAAACTGGTAATGGGATTTTAAAACGTACTGTTCAACATCTATATCCTCTTGAACTTTAGATATTTTGAACTTTAACGATTTAGTTATGCTTTTTTCCTTTTTTTGTCTATTAATGATTAAATTGAATATCGTTAGTTAAGTTTGTTTAGTTAAGTGAAAAATATTTTAAAATTTAGTTCATTTATTAGTTATAACATTTATTATTTGATACATGAAGTGATACCTATATTGGAATTGAAGTGTTTGACTAATTAGTATTTTTTAATATTTTTATAGAATAGTGATTTATGTCTTGATTGTATGTATAACTGAGTTAGATGAACTCTTGTCAGAGTTCAGGTTGGGGAGTGTGTTAAGGAATATTTTTTGATATCGCCAAGAGATGGCGTTAGGAGTCCATCTATTGGCTTACTTAACCTTTCCTCTTCTGAACACCTGACTTGAAAAAAATATTCTTCTTCTTGAAGGTAGAATTTCGATGCACTACGCAATAGAATTCGATTTAGATTTTAGCTGGAACTATTCAGTTCTTGCCTTTTGAGCCTTAAATATTCGATTCAGGCATTTTAGCCTACATTGTATATATGTAAATATTAAGTTTAATTAAAATTTATGGAAAACCCTCCAGGCCATGCATCTCATTTTTTTGGATTATGAGTGATTCGACTTTGATCTAGAACTTTCGTTACATAGTAACTGCAGCAACAATATCTGACTGATTTCTAAAGCCACTGCTATCTACCAATCATTATTCCTACTTTTTGTCAATATTCAGACACTTGTTTTACATGAGATATATAAATCATGAAATTGCAACTAAATATCTTCTCATTTTTTTCAAAAGAGCTTCAAATAAAGTTGAAATTTGTTTTATAAAGTATTTTGATTTTTATACAGGATACATCAGATATATTTTAGTAATGATATAAAATATGCATTTATAAAACACTTAAAGACTGGTATTTCATAGAATCGCCTTCCAAATTATGCCTTTATACCTTTTTTAGGGCTGCCTAAGATTATAAAAAACGTTTTCAGAAGTTCTTTTGAAATGTCGCTCGAAATCCTTATCACAGGACATTTAACCAACCAATTCCATTAAGTTCGAGGGGAAAAATTACAAAGTAAAAGATCAGGAGAAATATCGGTTGCTAAAAGACGCTAGTTATTTAAAGATTTTTTCGATGGTGGTTATTGCATAGCTTGGAGCGGTCATGAAATAAACTTCTTTCTGTGTTATGACTCTATTCTCACCTTTCCAGTGTGCTATGCTAACCTTTTCATTATTTCTATGTAATTGTTAATAATTTGTCCTTCAGGCATGAACTCCTTGTGATAAATATGCTGTGGGTTTCTCTATGCATAATGTAAATGTAGTTTAGTTTCCCTTAGAAAGTCCTCCATCGAAGCATCCCTTCCCTGAGGCAGGCAGACCTCGTGTGCTTTGCCGTAACTGTCGTTAAGTCAGAGTCTATTGTGATACTTCTTATCTGTGAAATCATATTTAGGGGAATATTTTGAAACTATTGAGCTATAATAAGATAATTTTATTTTAGTGGCATGTAGTGTGCAGCAGAGATTGGATGCTTTCTACCAGTCAGTCGGTATATATGCTTGGTTTCCTTGCTGCTGTTCTCGTTTCTGGTCAAATCGCTGATCTGTAAGTACCTAATACATTGGTTTTTAAATTTCATTTTTATAGAAGGATAAAAAAATCAGCATAATACGTTTGTGAATTCTCTAAATAAATTTTTCTAGATCTTGAGATATGTTATCTTTCCGTCAATTATTCATAGTTCTCTTATTTTCTAGTTTTCTAAAGTGTTTAATATAAGCTGAATTTTTCACGGATAATGTAATTATAAACACAATTTTATACACACTAATCCAGTTTCTTTTATGATATTAAAATTTAAAATATGCCCATTTATTTATTCATTTAATTTTTGCATAATGACTTCAACTACTGACACCGAATTTTTAAGAATATGTCTCATATATTAAATATATAAAAAATTCAAATAATAATTGCAACTATCATAATATTCTTGGCTATATGTAACGATGTAAAATGTTTGCTTATATGCCACTGATATTCACATATTTTATGTATTCAATGCATTTTTACAAGGATAACATGCTTTTTGTAACATGCCTGTGATGTTTCTAAATAAATTGTTATTTATCCTAGATATGTTACCTCTCTATCAATTTCTTATAATTCTTCTTTTCCTAGTTGCCCAAGAATATTTAATTTCCACCGAATGGTTTTCATTTTTATGTATAATACAAATCATAAATCATCTTATATCTTCAATCATAAATCTTCTACAAATCTTAAATCTTCTTTGTACCTAACCCTCGAGTGCTTTGCCATAATTAAGTAAACCGAAACTTAAATATAATTTTCTATCCATCTATGCTTCATATTTTAGAACTTTATAAGATAATCGCCCATTCATATTCTAAACTTGTTATGCAAACTATTTTCGAATACTGAAGCTGATTGTCTTTGAAGAGTCATTTTATGTATGGAATATATAAAAACTTTGTACGTTATACGGTTTTGTATAACGCATAAAAAGTAGAAAATATTTTTTTTAGGTTTTTAATTAGATAACTCTTTATATTAAAGATTCATAATATTCTTAGCAATATTTAGCTAAGAATTTATCACGGGGCTATTTATAAGTGCGTATTTAAAACCAAAATTGTAAAAGAGATATGGAACACTATTTAATATAATTGCAATTTTGTATATGTAGGTAAATAAAACATTATAATTATATAATAGTTTAAATTATATAGTAGCCTTACGTTGGTTTTATATGCATTAATATTTCTACATTTCCCGTCAGTTTTTATAGCAAACTTTTTTTTGGTTTAAATATGTTCTTTTTTGTTGTAGTTGAAGATTTACCTTCATGTTTAAAAATGATTTTAATTATTCATTTAAGTACAAATTTTATATATTAGTTTTTTCGCAATTAAAAGGATTCATTAAAAAATACGAAAGCGACAAAACACGATCATATCCAAATTATTGCGGATTTTTTTAGGAGGTTTAATTCCCCTTGATAAATCAGCCCTTTACCGGGAAATCAGCAGTAATTTACTTGCAGTTTTAGATTAAAAACTGTAATCTTCTTTTAAGTTTATTATAATTTTTTAATAGTTTAACATAATCAGAAGTATTAAACATTTCCTAATTTCCAGTTTGCAATAGTTTTACATTTCCTTTCCTAGGAGATAATCATAATTATAAAATTAATAATTAAATAGTTTTATTTACATACGTCATACCTAAGGTGACTTCTGCTGCTTCTTGAAATTCTTTTAATGGTCGAATACAACCTGTGGCGTAGATAGAATTTTGCCGCCCATCTCAGTGCACACTAAATAATCTGTAAAATGTCGAAATGATTAATTAAAAGAAAGTTCTGAGTATATTTTTGAAATAATACGTAACTTTAACATTACCTTAACGAAAGCAAAATTTACCTTAATTCAACAATACTTTCAATTGATTTGGAATTTAATTAATTTTAACTAATAAAAATAATTTGGAATATTAAGTTGTCAACGAAAGTATGTATTTATGTAAAATTTCAAGGAATCAATTTGGTAGAAGGCGATAAAAAACTAATTTCAAGATCTTCCCCTAACAAGCAAACCGTCTAGAAACAGATGGCCTTCTAAGAAAGATTTTTTAAAAACTTATTTTTAGTTTTAATTAACGTAAGAATGGAAGTCTTTATTTACCTCAATAGCGATTATAAATCCATTTTTAATAAGCAATAAAATCAGTGCCATGATACCGAAATCCATGCTCTAAATTTTTAAGTTTTGCGAACACGTGTTTTACTAACGAAATACTCCCTCGAAGCTGGATCAATAAAAGCCGAATCAAAAGCGGACTGACTGATACTACGTCTAGGAAGTGATCCTTGTATCTCCACATCCGACCAGTTTGGAAGTGAAATCTGACACCATGGAATTATTTTATTTTACTAGATAATGTGCTTGAGCTACTTTTAACCAAAAGTTTATATGATCTCAAAGTCTACTTTGTTACCGCAATAAGCATATTAATATTGCTGCAAGAAATATGATAAGAATTTGATAATGGTCTTGCCGCTACTCATGGCACGTATAACTTATTAAACAACTTTGGACATTTTACTCTCATTGCGTGCATCTCTTGTCATTCTGGGTAAATAAACTTATATGCAGTCATCTGCAGTCAAAATATGCAGTCATCTGAAGATCGATCAGTCATTTTATATGACACACTATATTTACTGCATAGATTTTATTGCAAGGGTCAGTGACTGATGTAATGGAGTATAAAAATATACGACTACCTGATTTGACGTATTGATATAAGGGATACGTTGGTTTTATATGCATTAATATTTCTACATTTCCCGTCAGTTTTTATAGCAAACTTTTTTTTGGTTTAAATATGTTCTTTTTTGTTGTAGTTGAAGATTTACCTTCATGTTTGAAAATGATTAATTATTCATTTAAGTACAAATTTTATATATTAGTTTTTCGCAATTAAAAGGATTCATTAAAAAATACGAAAGCGACAAAACACGATCATATCCAAATTATTGCGGATTTTTTTAGGAGGTTTAATTCCCCTTGATAAATCAGCCCTTTACCGGGAAATCAGCAGTAATTTACTTGCAGTTTTAGATTAAAAACTGTAATCTTCTTTTAAGTTTATTATAATTTTTTAATAGTTTAACATAATCAGAAGTATTAACATTTCCTAATTTCCAGTTTGCAATAGTTTTACATTTCCTTTCCTAGGAGATAATCATAATTATAAAATTAATAATTAAATAGTTTTATTTACATACGTCATACCTAAGGTGACTTCTGCTGCTTCTTGAAATTCTTTTAATGGTCGAATACAACCTGTGGCGTAGATAGAATTTTGCCGCCCATCTCAGTGCACACTAAATAATCTGTAAAATGTCGAAATGATTAATTAAAAGAAAGTTCTGAGTATATTTTTGAAATTTAGTATTAAAGATTAAATTCGTACAGAAGCACATAACGCTTTTATAAAATCTTAGGATTACATTCTTAAAAGAAAATAAGAGAAAAGAAGAAATACGAGATGCAAAGAAAGCAATATTGTCACCGGTTCCAATGAAGCTTCTGAATTCCTCTTTAGAAATCAACTCTGAAAATACTGTCGTCCCTATGGTTTTCGGAATATCTCAGATCTTGTCAAGAAATGGTGCCCTTTAAGGGGAGGTTTTATTTTAGAGAATAGAAACTAGTCCATAATCCCAAAAGCTGGGTCTTAAAATCATAAAATCAAGAAAGCAGTTGCATGTTTGCTAGCCATATGTTTCTTGCCGATAGTTATATTGTTTGAAGAAACCTTTCTTGTTTTTCACTGCCATCCACTAACTACATATAATTGTTGCATGAAATCAAAAAAAAAAAAAAAAAAAAAAAAAAAAAAAAAAGGATTTCATTAAAATTTCTTTTCGGTATATTAAAGAATGAATGTTGAGGTGTATAAGTAGTTTTTGACACTAGTTATCAATTAGCAGCTTCAGTGTGAATGGTTGAAAATATTCAGTCTTAAAACACTTCAGAAACACTGCGGCGTATCATGCCATGCTATATGCATGAATGTGAAACAGGTCACAATACCATGTTATCTAATACTTTATTTAAGGTACATAAGTATTACATTAACGCTTTCCCTGCCTAATATTATTCAATTTTTATTTTAGTTTTTAAATAGCCTGAACAATGTATATTTAAAACATTTTGTGTTCAATTTAGGTATGGACGTCATCCTACTATGATGTTGAATATCGTGATACTTCTTGTAGCTGGAATGGCTGCAGCATTTGCAAACTCATTCCTCGTGTTCACAATTTTTAGGTTTTTTATAGCATTTGGACACGCTGGAATTGGTCTTGTTATTTATGTGCTTTGTAAGTATGACTGTAGTTCATTTACTGACTAAACACCATTTGTAAAGAATTAATTCAGTTTCTCTAATTAATCTTTATACCTATTTGGATGATAAGGATTCAGATGTGTGTGTGTGTGTGTCATACTGGTATGAAAAGCTCATTCTATCAGACCTCAATTAGAAAAATTAGTCAAATGATTCCAGTCTTGTTTTTAAATTAGAGTTATATGACAGATAATTCTGTTGATAAAATTATCTATCCAATAGAATCAGTCCTGCATTCAAATCTCAGACTTTAACTTCAGAAAATTATAATTTAAGCTTATAATTTTACCTTGTTTAAAGTTTACAACTAAAATTTAATTGGTAATTAATGTTTAAAATGTTCAAATGTTCTATTTAAATGAATTTAATCTAAGGTAAATTTTATTGAGTTGTCATTTGCATCTTCCTCTACTCCTTTCCTCTACTCCTACAACTTTATACTCACGAAAAACAAAGGAAATTTCAGCAATCTAATAAATGAAAATAAAAAATCAAAAGTACCGTGATCAGCATGAGATCATTGTTTAAATAATAATGTAAAGCATTATCTTATTTGCCCCATGTGGCTTTCATGCAGAAGTAATCAGTGCCTCTAGCTAGTATTTGGAAAATCTGTAGCTCACATCTTATGAAAAATACAGCTCATCCCTTATACTTCTGACTTCGAAGAACCTATAATCTCTGCAGTGGCGCCCGAGCTAACATATGGAGCAAGTTATCCTTTTACCACTTGGATTTAGCCAAGTGGCTCTTGCGCCACTTCTAAGACACACTTTAAGAAAAAGAGGAAATAAGGAGTTAGCTTTTGCCCCAGTGCAAATCAAAATAGCGTAAGTAGTTAGCACGTCCCATTGGGAACTCGAAAATCCGTATCTCGAAGCCAAGCGAGGACACAGTTGATTTTAACATTCCTATCTTCCGAAAGCTCTAAACGCTTCTACACGTAGCTATAAGCATAGAATTTGAAACACGGTTGTTCTCTTATTTAAGTAATATGGATTGCTGAAAACTATTTTCAGTGTTACGTTGCTGATTTTAATACAGAGTTTAACATATCGCTGAATACCAAACTTTACCTAATTGCACTTGCATCAGGTGTATTTATTATTGCAATCTACTAATATGTATAATGTTCTACATGAATTCCTAAACGAATTTAATGAAAGATGAATATCCATGAACTCATTATACTAAAACAATTACTTTTGTTAATAATAATGAATAAATGAAATCTGTATGTACTCTATCAGGCTCAATGATAGCCAAAAGTAGGCTCAATGTAAGTCAGTCTCAATTATAGCCCGAATTGAGTGAAGATTTTTATCTTTTTCTAATTTTCTTTACCTTTGGCCAGTATTTAGTTAAAGTTTTGGTTTAACTATTGTTGAACTTCAGTTTTAATAAATTACTTAAATTCAAAAAATTTCTTCCAAAAAATTATCAAAAAAATCAATTTTTTCAATTCAGTTTTTTAAACTTCTTCGAACTTTATTTCAAAATTTGGAAACATTTCCAGGAACATTAACATCATTTTCCCCTCAGAACATCATTTTTTACTCATTACTTTGTAGAGATATTAGGATATTTTTGGAAGCAGGAGATATGAAAAATATGCAACGCCTTCGCCAGGAATCGAATCGCGGACCTCTGGAAATACGCGCCCAGCTTGCAGACCACCACACCACGAAGGCATACCAAGAAGGCCAGGAAAATACCGTATAACTTACATTTTTACAATCCTATTGCAGTTAGCAACATTTTTTTTTCACACAGAATATACTTTTACAATACTTTAGAGTTTGAAACAGTATTTTTACAATATCACACAGGTAGCAGCTTTACACTACTCAATTTTACATAGTAAAAGCGCCCTCAATTTACACAGCAGCGACAAACTGCTCAACCTATTTTTCAGCAAGTGCTACTCCACTCTCCAGCGTACAAAAATATGTTGTTACAAGATAAGTTAAATAAAGACTTACTACTTACTTGCCTTTTTTTGTATTATTTTTATAGATTGTATTTATTTTTCATTTTTTAAAACGTTTAAAATGTTTATTTAGTTTATCTTGGTTTATGTGCATAAGTTATCAGGTTCAATGTTCCGTCTTACTTTCTTCGGGAACATGCAAGGACCTGACTCGGAACAGAGAGCTTACTAAAGCTATGTTCAATAACTGTGGGAAGTAGACAGGATACACAAGAAGGGTATACAAAACCCTTTATTTTTCTCTATTTACAATAACTTCCGTACTTCGGAATACAAAGACCCACTACTTGTGGTCTAAACTTAAAAATATAAAAGTAAAACTAAACTCTTCACTTTGAAATAATAAACGTCGAAGATTGGCCTTATATTAACAGGAAGCCGTATGTAGTACAGAGAACTGTGAACACTACAATACGTTTAAAATTATCAAGAGGATTAAACCTCTGGCCTGGAAGGCAACCAGCAACTGAGTAAAACTTCTAAGGTAAGCGGCCTGCTTCCGCTAACTCCTTCCTCTCTCTCGCTTGGCAAAAAGCCACAACTTAAATACTTGGCGTTCGCCAGACAAACTTTGCATAATTACGTTAACGCTTATAATTGTGGCCAGAAGTAGAAAATAAGAAGTGATAGTAAAGATTTAAAATAAAATAAACGTTAGTAAAACTTAAGATCCTTACATACTTCCCGCCAGAGTTAATTAGTTTGAAACTGAGGTCTAAAACGACCTTGTTGAAAACTTTTAGCTCTAGAATCTAAACGCGAGGCCAATCTTTTACAAACATTTTTCGCTAGAAAACTAGAAATTTAAAAGAAAGAAATTTGTTTTTACAATAGCAGCTCCCAGGACACGCAATTTTTTCATCTGTACTGCATCTAAACAGGAGCTTTTATTCAAATCTGGTTCCTTGCAGAGATCTGGAAGGAAAACTAGTTTAATGAAATGTTACACAATGAAATGGCAAGTAACATGTATAATTATATTTCTCTTAACATTCTTATTTCATTCATGACTATTTTAATTATCTCTCACCGTGCTCTCTGACATGTGTTGTAAAAGAACACCAAACACGAATGTGTTTATGTCTATGTGTTCAACACTTCCTCCTACAATCAAAGCACTAACGTGTTAAACATTCAACATACCAAGACCTCGTAACACACCCTAACTTCAACTCTAAACCCTGAGGTACTATTCTGAAAGTGGCTAACTCTGAAGTGTAGCGTCAGAGAGCCTAACTACATTCATTCAACCTTTAACACATATTCACCATGATTTTAGTCTTTTTACAGTCACACGAAATAAAAAAAATTTTAACATTACTTTATTTTACTTTTACCATATCACGGTATTTCTTAACATTTGAAAATAACAGTTCACATTGTATATAAGAACATATTAACATGCCGTTAATTTTACGCATTTGACAAACATACATTAGTAGTACATTGTTAACTTCTATTCTTTTCAAAGCAAGTGCCAATTTTTCTACATTGAAATACTACATTTCAAAAAGTCTTTCAGACTAAAACTTCTTTCTTGCCAGAATGTTTTAAATAAAATTTATACAATAACTTTTTACAATATTTAAGTCTTTTACACATCGCTATTATACATCAACTTTAGTTTTACACGCGCGAGTAATTGAAAAACATAATACCAAAATCGGTAACAACTCATTTCTCGCCCTTTTGGCGATAAAGGTAGACCTCGCGTGAGGTAAAACTTCTTGAAATCTGCCACTTGCAGTAAGAATGAAAGATTAACTTATGTTTGCAAAGTAACATAAAATTTTACTTATCTTTGTGATATTCGGACATTCTTTTCTGAGCCCAGTCTTGGAAAGTAGCGTAGATTGTTGTTTAATTTATCCTCCTTCGTGTGCGGGCTCGCCCTTCAGTGCCTTCCTTTAGATGCTTCTTTTTGGCTTTTCTTTTTTTCCAGTTCGGTCACCCTTGAATACCTTCTTTTTTCGCCTGCTGCCTGTGGTCTTGGTCGTTTGATGGCAGCTGATCTTGGCGGAACCGGGAAACTTCTTTCGTGTTCCTGTTTGGACCTCGTTGCTGGCCGTTCAAATTTTCCTTGTAACTTTTCCTCCGCCGCTGGTGGCCCTTCCGCAGTTCGGCGACATTTGCTGCGGAGAGTCCTGTCGGATGAGTAGATCTTCCGTTTTAGAGCCGGGTTATAGTTGCCGTCATTTCTCCTGGCTCTCTTTGCATTCGTCGTCCTTCTCCCTTTCATTCTGGGGGTGTTCGTGAGCTCTCTTTTCTGGACGGTGGAACGGCTTCTTTTTCTTGTTACCTTCACTTTTCCCGCAGGGAAACTTTCTTTTCACTTGCTCCTGCCTCTTAATGGCTTGCCCTTGTACTTGTCGTTGTTCCACCTCTGGAGCTTGTGCCTGCGGTGTCTGCCGTGCCGGATCCTGCAAAAGATCTGTAAATATTTGCATTTTATTACGATCATAGTAGGGTTTGATTTGATCAATGTTTGCGGAGCAGGTTTCACCATTTCTATCTTTTAACACTACTACAGCGTGAGTTATTTTTTCTATGACATATGGTCCTTCAAGTCGTGGAAAAAATTTGGCTGTTTTATCTTCTGGTGCTGAAGAAAGTGAATGCTTAATTTTTAATACTTCATTCCCTACTTTATAAGTTACTCCCCGTCGTTTCAAGTCATAATATAGCTTTTGTTTTCTCTGTGCTACTTCCGTATTCTTTTTTTTGCTTCTTTAATTAGTTTTTCTATATCACCCATTTTAAATTCTGGGGATCTTTGTTGCACATAAAATAATTTATCTAACGGCGTTATAATCTTTCTGCCTAAAAATAACTCAGCAGGAGTTTTGCCCGTTGTATCATGTTTTGCGGTCCTAAGGGCGAAAGCAAATTCATTGACATAGTTATCCCAGCTTTTATGAAAATTTTTAACATAACTACGGATAATTTTCACTATATTTCTATTGACCCGTTCCGCTATATTTGAT